AATAAGAAAAAAGCATATTGTGAACTTTTAACATTAAATTATAAGTGTAAATTTTATTGTAAATATATTATATAGAACTAATTAAATCAATTTATTAAAATTGTTGCTTCTCCTGTTACAGCTATTTTCTAATCAATTTTTGAAATAGTAGTATTCAGTTTCAAAATTGATCTTCCTTTTTTAAGTTTGATATCTTATATTGCAACTTAAGCTAATATTTATTCTTCAAAAAATATGGGAGCTTTAAAAAATATAGATTGTTCTAAATAAATGGCCCCAGGAAAATTAGTACCCACCAATGTAGAGAAAAGACTAGCTGATAACATTCCATGAACAACTCTTTACTTAAAGATGGATTAAGAAGCAACTTATTCATCAAGATGTATAGGATTGAAATCTTAAATTAGATTGGCGTAATTTTTAACATCTTCCAATGTAAATACTCTTTCCAATTTGAATAACTATCCAACTTGAAATTGAGAAAAAAAATATTGAATTTGCCTCAATTTCATGTATTTATTAATTCAAATAAAATTTGTTTTATAAATTCTTTATTATGAATGATGATAACCCTTGGGTTTAAAAGGATTAAGCTATAGTAAATATCGTTGTCGGCCATACTAAGCCTAAAGCACCGGATCCCATTCGAACTCCGAAGTTAAGCGGCTTAAGGCGAGGTTAGTACTAAGGTGGGGGACCGCTTGGGAAGTCCTCGTGTTGACAACCCTTTTTAATTTTTTAAATAAAATAAAAATAATTAATAAAACTTTAGTTTAAAAAAAATCATAACATAAGTATATGTAATTAGAACTCCTGCATAAAAAAATAGAAAATGGAACATATTTTTAAAGATTTAGTGTTAAAATTTTATAATTGAAAAGAATGTAGATTTAAAGAGTCTCTTAAATCTAATTATGAAAATAAATGAAATATAAAAATTAACATCTTTGAACTAAAACTTAATTCATAAAGTATTTTTTTCTAATGAAGGAGTAATAAAACAATAATTAAGAATAATTTAATTATATTCCACTTTTCTAATAATATCACTATAAAATTTTGTTAAGATTATTAACAGACTTTTAAATAAATTGTTATTACCTAATCATATTTTTTAAATTTAACAATAAAGATATTGTAATTCATATATGATTAGAGATAAATTAAATGATTTGATAAAAGTTTATTTCTTTAAAAAATACTAATTAAGTAATAGGGATTTATTTTGTAATTAAAAAGAATATCTCTAAAGATATTCCTAATAATTCCTTAGTTAAATAAATTTATAAATCAATTATCTTCATGAATATGCTGAGCAATCTGATTTGAACTTAAAGGAGTTATAAACAAAAATTCATTCAAATGAAAAATTTGGAGGCCATTCCATGACTCTGATATCTTTAAAGGGGAATACAGAAAATTACTCAAGCTCTGTCGAATAAGCACATATCTGAAAGACTATATTGTTTTTTATTTTATTCTAAACCTTTGAACAACTGTCTTGAAATACTAATAATAAATTTTTCAATTTTTATTAAATGCATAAAGCTTACTATATTTTACTTATAAATCATAAAATTGAATAATTTCTTCGGATTTATCTTTAAATAAGTACTTATTTGAACAGTAATTTTATAAGAAAATTACATTTTCTAAAGTACTTTGGTTTATTTAAAAAGTAATAAATTATATTTTTTTTCATATGACTCTTATAAATAAATATCAAGATTTTTAATTCTAAGGATTTATCATAATTTCTATTGAACAATTAGTAATTTCAAGATGTAGTTTTATTCATCTATTTTAAATTAGATCGATCGATATTCTTTTCATAAAATAAGAAAAAAGCATATTGTGAACTTTTAACATTAAATTATAAGTGTAAATTTTATTGTAAATATATTATATAGAACTAATTAAATCAATTTATTAAAATTGTTGCTTCTCCTGTTACAGCTATTTTCTAATCAATTTTTGAAATAGTAGTATTCAGTTTCAAAATTGATCTTCCTTTTTTAAGTTTGATATCTTATATTGCAACTTAAGCTAATATTTATTCTTCAAAAAATATGGGAGCTTTAAAAAATATAGATTGTTCTAAATAAATGGCCCCAGGAAAATTAGTACCCACCAATGTAGAGAAAAGACTAGCTGATAACATTCCATGAACAACTCTTTACTTAAAGATGGATTAAGAAGCAACTTATTCATCAAGATGTATAGGATTGAAATCTTAAATTAGATTGGCGTAATTTTTAACATCTTCCAATGTAAATACTCTTTCCAATTTGAATAACTATCCAACTTGAAATTGAGAAAAAAAATATTGAATTTGCCTCAATTTCATGTATTTATTAATTCAAATAAAATTTGTTTTATAAATTCTTTATTATGAATGATGATAACCCTTGGGTTTAAAAGGATTAAGCTATAGTAAATATCGTTGTCGGCCATACTAAGCCTAAAGCACCGGATCCCATTCGAACTCCGAAGTTAAGCGGCTTAAGGCGAGGTTAGTACTAAGGTGGGGGACCGCTTGGGAAGTCCTCGTGTTGACAACCCTTTTTATTTTTTATATTAAATTTTTATATAGTTGTTAAATTGATTGTTTTTAATTCAAATTGGCAATTTTAGAGAATTATTTATCATATAAACTGAAATATCAGATAATATCTCTTAAGAATTATGACATGTTGATTTAAAATACGTATTTTCTTTTGTTATTTATCAGATGAAAAATACATTTTTAATCTATAAATATTATTATCCAAAAATAATTATAACAAGTCTAGCATATGACATCTTTTGTTTAATCAACATTTGCAATATCTGCAAAGCCAAATTTTGAATTTTTATAGAATTAGATTGAATCTGATTCGGATAATGAAGAATAAAAATAGAAATTATAATAAATACATGAACATTAGAAGGAACACAAAAAATTTAAGAAATTAATTGATATAGAATTGGTGAAGGAAGAATTGAAAAACAGGCCTAATGTTGAAATGAAAATAAGTTCAATTTAAAAGAAAAAAATTTCTAAGATAAAAAGTGTCCGTTCTCTAAATGATCTTATTATTCCCACATCTCCAATTTTGATAGATCAATTAGGAAACTTGAAGAAAATAAAAGAGATACGTTCAGAAGTACCTCCAGAATTGATGGGAAGAATTTACTCAGAACTTAGGTAATTTTTAACAAACGATTATGAGATATGAATTTGTGCCAGCCTTAAATCCAGTGTATCGATAGGGAGATTAGAATAAAAGATTTTACATTATACTAGAAGGTAAGGTAGTAGTGATGAAACCGAAATTAAAGATGGTGGGGTCCAGTAAAATAGAATTTGATGATAATTTGTAATAAAAAACACAAGGGAAAAATGATGATGATCCATTTGGATTGAAAATTCTCTTTCCAGATTATATCATATTAAAAATCTTATTTCAAGGAGAGTAAGTATTTCTTTATTTATTTTTTAGTTCTTTTGGTGAAGCAGCTATAAAATTAGATACTGCAAGATCATCTACAGTATTTACATTGGAAGATACTCATTTATTATATATAAATGAAACTGCTTATCTTGAATATTTAAATCCTTATTTAAGTATTGCTTTAGATAATAAAATTAAATATTTTGGATAGACTCCACTCTTTCGAAATATCGATCCAGAAGATTATATGGGTATTGTATTGGAAAGCAAATTGGTGACTATGAAGGCAGGAGAGATAGTTTATGATGAAGGAGAGAAAACTAAATATATATACTTTATAATTAATGGGGAAATTGAATTGTTGAAATAAGTAAAAAAGAAATCTATAATATTGTCTTCATATGGAGAATTTCAAAGTTTTGGGGAGGTTGAGATTATGAATAAAATAAATAGATATACAAAAGCCAAAGTGATTTCTCCAAGATTAAATTGTTATAGGATTAGAAAAAGAATGTTTTTTGATAATTTAGGTAGTTATGGAACTTATGAAAATATGAAAAAACATTCAGCTATAATTTATAAACATTGGTAATTAATTTGTAATACTGTTTAAAAATCAATTAATCCAAGAGATGAAGTACATTAATACTTATATTCAATAGGTTTATGAAGCTGCTTAAGATGACAATTAAAATAAACCAAATTTCTTAGCAAAATACATTTTAAATAAAAAACTAATAGAGTCTCAAGGTTAGAAATTAAGTCAAATAAAAGTATTTTAGAATTTGACTGATTCAAATTTAAAAGATTTAAAAAACTTTAGTAATGATAGTTAAAATCTTCTATAAAGAGTATATAGCAACACACTTTAATAATATTAAGCTAAATTATTAAAGAAACCTTAAATGATTATTTGTGATTCTGATGCATCATGTATAAGAAATCTTAATCAAAACAAATAACCAACAAATACAAGTATTAACCATGATAATAATTCAACTACAAGTCCATTAAATGAAAATAGTGTTGATCTTAAATTAAGCTCGAATAGATCATCTGTAATAATTAAAAGGGAGAGTTAATAAAAGATTATTCTTCCATCTCTACATCCTTCTTTACATTTGGTTGGACCTTAACCTTAATCTTTAAATACAGTATTAGAATCTATAAGTAAATTACCTAGAGTTCCAAAAGATAATTTAGTGCTATCATTAATGTATTAATAAGCTTACAAAGCTGAGAATCCTGCTAAAAAGGCTAAAGAAATTTAGCAAGTAATTCAAGCTTCATATAGAAATGTATAAAATAGATTTTAACCAAAACAACATCATTTAACAGAAATTCAACCTTCACCTTCATCAAATGAGCATAGAATGAAAAAGAATTTATAAATTTCAGGATTGTTGAGTATGAGATCATAAAAAAAATAGTATCTAAATTTTGTACATCCAAAAAGGATAGTTGGAATTAGTCAAATAAATTGATGATAATTATGAATATAATCAAAATTAGTTATCAATAAATTTAAGATACATATATAATATTATTCTTATTTTAAAATATACATCATAAATTTACTACTTCTTCTTTAATTATTTTTTTATACTAAACATATATATTCTAATCTTCCTCATCCCAACCTAATAATTTTTTTCTTATTTCTTTTGTATCATTATAAATTTTTCTCTTTTCATTAAGATATTAAGTAAACTAAAATATATATTATTATAATATTTACTTGATTATACATTTCTTTTTTCTTTTGTTCTTTATCATATTTTGCTTTATTGAGAATTTTATCATCTTCAGCTTCATACTTCTTGATAAATTATTTATGATTATTTTATAATTCTTATTCTTCTTTAAAAGATAATAGATGAATTGGTTTATTTCTCCAATGGATATCTGTAACTTTAGTTATTGTATCTTTGACTAATTATTCTCCAATAGCACTCCAAATGTTGACACTATGCCATAAATCACTCATGGTTATAAAATACTAAAAATAATAAATTTTAAATACAGTTCCTGTTGGATCCCATTAAGCATGACTCATATAAAAATGATTTGTAGATTTTGTAATTTCTATTATTGGTTATTCATTTTTTTTAGATATTTGACCAAATTCAACTTTACCTTAATCAGGTGAATTTTTAGTTTTATTAACCATAGCAAAATAATTCTAAAATTATATTATTTATTAATTACTCCATTAGATGCCCATAATAATTCATTAGTGTCTTTTCCTTTCTATTCTCCAAGTTAACATAATTTGATTCCTTTTTTAATATCTTCTTGAACTGAATAAAGATGGAAAGTAAATTATGAAGTTGGTTTTTATTATTTATCTTTTTCTCTATAAGATAAAGCAAATTTTCCTGTATTGAGTTCTGCAAATATGTTTTCAACATCTTCATTAACTGTATGTTCATCAATTTCAAATGGATCCATTTTACTCAAATTACCAACTTATAGTGTAGTTGCAAAAACCTTATTTTTTTATTTTTTTTTAATTAAAGTAGCAACCCATTTTCCATATGTATGTACAAATATTTGAATACTATCAATTTCAAATGCAATATTTCTCCATTTAATATCTATATGTTTATTATAATCATGTAAAAAGATTTAAGTTTTAATATCTTTACCATAACAAACAACAGCTAAATAATTGGTTTATGGAACCCATTCAATTTATTTTACACCAACAGCTTTAAGATTTAATTAATTTTTTTGATAAAACTCTGGAGCTTCATAAATTTAAATTTCATCTTATGTTTGAAATGCTAATAATTTACTATCTCTTTTAAATTTAAAATGATTAATAGAAGATTATTATTATACAATCTATCTCAATTATCTTTCTTCTCTAATATTCCAAATTATAAATTACTTAAATAATAATAAATATATATATACTTATAATCCATCATAACTTATTACATATTATTCATCTGGACTGAATAATAATTCATTTACTTTTTTGTGTTCAAATTTATGTAATAATTCAAGATCTTAAGCACCATAGAGAGAGAATTCATTTTCTGTAAATAAAACTAAATATTATCCTAATGGAGACCATTATAATTTATCATATGTTGGTAATTTCATTTCAGTAATATTATCTTCTAATTTCTTTTCCAATGAATTTAACCATTTTAGTGAAAGTTTAGTCTTTTCTTAAATAATTGTTAGAGCAGATCTTGCATCTTTATGAAATGCCAACAATTATTATCTTGATTTTAATGTAATTGGTATATATTCTGAAGTTTGATTAATATGATTTATTTATTTTTAAGTGAATGCTAACAATTAATGTTTAGCATCAAAATTTTGATTACTAATTTATTCTACTGCCTATTGTGCTTAATCTTCATTTTCATATGATAAGACAGCATATCCATAATTATTTAGATCAATTTCTTAAAATTAAATAAAATTATTCTTTTTCAGAAATCCTTTAAGTGCTGTAATAAGTTTTGGTTTCATTTCTTCTTTAATTTTTGGTAATCCAATAAGAAGAATATGAAGATTGGGATTGAAATTTAATTTAGGAAATTCTTACAAGATATCTTTAGGTTACTCATCACATGCTCTTTTGATATATTCAGGTGCTACATCTACATCGTTAAAATTGATTTAGTCTTGTAATTGACTCATAATCTCAAATTAAATTTTTATTATAGAAATGGGAAAATTATTTCAAATGAATCACGCCTAAAAGTCGTTAGAGTAGTATTCCTTCAATAAATCTTATTATTTAAGAACTTGAACTTGGAGAATATTTATGGTTTATTTAGAAGTTTCTAATTCAAAGGTTCTAGATATAAAAGATATATTTGTACAATTTCTACAGTTGGTCACGTAAATATTGTATCTCTTATATTAATTCATCTGATTGATCACTTTTCTAACTATAATTCATCTTCTATAATTTATCAACCAATTATTATAGTTCCTATTTCTCTGTAAACAGTTTCTAGTAATCATTTATAGATTGACAATGAGTTTCATCTTAAGAACAAGATGATTTCCGCTTAGCTTCCATTATTAAGATTTCCTAATATAATTACTTTGTCTCTCTTAATTCTTTTATCATGATCTCAGAATCAAAACTCATCTCAGACTTAAGTCTTGTTATTGCACTTTCCTTCAGATACTCATAATGCTATCTTTTATTTCATCTTATAGATTACTTACTTAACTTATTCCAATTATTATTAATGATATTTTTCTTATTCATCCAATTAATTATGAAGCATCAATATCTCAGCATCTTTCTCTGTAATTATTATTTACAATCTTTCTACTAATCTAATCACTTTATTTAATTCAAATACTGTCTATTTAGAAAATATGATCAATACTTAATCTCTCTCTACACTTAATTTGCTTAATTAAGACCGACACAACTGTAATTCTTCCTTCAGTTGCTATTGATTTGACATTAAATAAATTAATGACAGAATCCATTTAATTTCGTGGACCATTGGAAGTTGAAGGACCAGGTACTCATTCTATATATTTAGATGACTTAGATGATGATGACAACTATATGAGACCAGGTTTAGAAACTACAGGCTTACATAATCGTAAATAAAAAGATCAGCCAACTAAAAAGTCTCTATACTTTGCAATCATTTGCTTCTTTGCAGGCTTATTTTATTTCTACTTTACATATGAATCACCTATAGCCATTCATTCTGAATTTGCTACCAAAACTACATTCGGATGCAATAGATAACAATATTGGACTAAATAAGGTTGTGAACCTAATCCCATAGGATGTTAATTAAGTGTTGAAAAGACATCTTATTGTGTAGTTTGTGAACAAACTTATCATCTTTCCCTTAAAGGAATTTGTATTGAAGAATGTTAAGAATCAAATGGCTAATTTTGTACATCTAAGAATAATACTATGGTCTCAAACATATATAAACCAAAAAATGATTCATATTCTCAGTTTGAAATCCCTTACATTTTGATTCATCATCCAGATTCTGCTGGATTACTGTATATTTCTGATGTTGAACTATTTAAATTAGAACCATTCCTATCCCTTAAATATACAATTGTTAAATTTGAAGATTACTTTTTATTAAATAACGAAGAGTTTCATCTTGTCTTTAACGATTTTTAAACATTTATAGAGTAAACATTACTTGATGGAATATAAATCAATAAGACCTATGTTGCCTTTGAGGAAAGATCTTAAGGTCTACTTTATTATTTAGCTTCTTCAAATATCACTGATCCCATAGTATTAGTTTAACCAACCCATTTGGAAGCAAATTAATTTTATGATGATACCTATGAAATTTAATCATTTGAAGTCCTATTTACTAATAGAACTTTTAATGTCACTGTTCTTCATACAGGAACTGTACCAGATGAAATTAAATGCAAGAAACCATAGAGATTGATGCCTGAATTAGATAATTTGGAAGATAAGTATAATTATTAATATATAAAAAGGGATTAAAAAAATGATAATGAAATTAAAACAATTGGAGAAGTTGACTGTTTTTAAATAGAAGAATCATAAATTATTGAAAAAATTGTACATCCTAATTGATTTTATTATATAATATTTATTTACAACAACTAAATCATTTTCTTTATTGGAATGATTTCTATTTTCCTACTGCTTTATTGTAATTCATTGAATTATGTTTTTATGACTCCTTCTTTGCTTTTTAAGCAACCTTATTTTTTTCATTTTCTAATGGCTTCTTCTTTTTTTAAGATTTTTTGGATTCATCTTAAGTGAATTCTTTTTTTTCTCTCTCTATTTAACTAAGCTAACCTTTCAAATAAAGTAAAGTGAATAATAATCCTGCATCAAGAAAAGTTAAGATCCAAAAATGAAAAGCACTATTTATAAATGACATAAATACAATTATTTATCAATGGTCAATGCAATCAATGGAAAGGATATTAAACCAAATAGAGTAGAATATGTAAGCCATGTCATTAACTTTTCAGCTGTTGGTAACAAACTACTAAAAGTAAAATCCACTGCTTATTCTTCTGACATAAATATATATTAATTAATAATTCTTATGTATTCATTTTGGTTGTATATATATCACTACTACAAAATCTTTAATTGAAAAATTAATTTATGAATCAAGCTCCAGTGATTTAAGTGAATTCACCAGTCACATCATTTGTTAGCCCAGGTTTTAATGTAAGAAAAATAAAAGATTACATTAGGTACTTAATTAAAACGAAAAACAATATGCCTATCATTTTGCAAGAGCTTCTTGGGAAGGAGCAAGAATCTGTTATTTCTAGAGATCTTATGAATCACCAGGTTTGTTTTACATTTTCCATAAGATCTTTTCAACTGAGAAGCCTTAAGATGTGAAATAGCGTTTATAATAAAATGGGTGGAGTGAAGAAGAGGTTCAATAATTATTTGTATATGTTGCTGCTGTATTCTAAAATTCTGGCAATTTTAAAAGCTTTGGAGATTCTAAATTCATACCTGAAGTAAGTTAAGAAAAGTTTGAATAATTTATTACAACATCACCAGGATATTAAGTTGATTAAGTTTGGGAAAGTATTCGTAAATATGTATATAATTATGATAAACCTTATGGTTTGATTGATTTATAAGAAAAGAATGGTTCAAATTCTTATTATAGTAATAATTTGAATGGAGAATTATTGGAGGCTATAGATAAATTTTTGATTGCTTAAGGTGTTTCTGAATTGAATACAAGAGTTGTTAAGGTTGGAGATGAAATTCATGTGTTAGTAGCTTCAGTCAATGAAGGTTAGAAAGACTTAGGAGAAGTACATAACCACAAAGTTAAATTGGTTTATGGTGATTTTGCTCCTTTTCTTAATAGTGTTGTAACTCATCTTACAGCTGCTCTTTAATATGCAACAAATGATAATCAAAAGAACATGATATTAGCATATATTGATCATTTTAAGAGTGGAGATGTTGAATTGCATAAATAATCATAAAGACATTGGATTAAAGATAAAGGACCTGTTATTGAAACAAATATAGGATTTATTGAGACTTATTTGGATCCATTAAAAGTTCGTGCTGAATGGGAAGGCTTTGTAGCTGTAGTTAACAAAGAAGAAAGTGCTTTGTTAAATGAATTAGTGAATAAAGCTGAAGATATCATTAAGTATTTACCATGGCCTAAAGAATTTGAAGTTGATGTATATAAAAGACCAGATTTTACTTCATTAGAAGTTCTTGCTTTTGCTAGTTCTGGTACACCATTAGGTATTAATATACCTAATTATGATGATATAAGATAAACTGAAGGATTTAAGAATGTTAATTTAGGTAATACAATAGGAAAATTATCAAAAGAATCTATAAAATTTTTAGATGAAACAGATTAAGATATATTTCATAAATATTAATCAGAAGCTATTTTCTTGGTTGTTGCTCTTCATGAATTGATAGGTCATGGTGCTGGTAAAGTATTTATGAAAGATAAGGATGGTAATTTAAATTTCAATCTTGAAAATACAATTAATCCATTAACAAATCAAAAAGTTGATTCATTTTATAATCATGGTGAATAATGGCATTCAAAATTTGGTGAATTTTCAGGAGCTATGGAAGAATGTAAAGCTGATGCTACTGCATTATATTTATCTACTTATGATGATGTTGTTAAATTGCTTTTACCAAAATAATCAGAAGAAGAAAGAAGAAATACTGTATTTGCAGGTTGGCTTTTTGTTGTTCATAGAGCTGTTTAAGGATTAGAATTTTATAATCCAGAATAAAAGAAATGGGGTTAAGCACATGTTTTAGCTAGAAATGTTATTTTATAATCATTAATAAGAGAAGATCCAGAAATTATTAAAATTACAGAAACTCAATAAAATGGTAAACCATATATGCATTTTAAATTTGATTAATCTAAATTATATACAACTGGTAAGAAAGCTATTTCTAATTTAATATTACATTTATAAGTATTTAAATCAATTGGAGCTGGTAATGAAGGTGTTCAATTCTTTAGTAATTTAGCAGCAGTTAGTGATTAATTCCTTAATTACAGAAATATTGTTATTTAAAATAAATTTCCAAGAAGATTGGAAATATAACCAAACTTAATTTTATAAGATGGTTAAGTTAATCTTAAAGAATATGAATCTACATTTGCTGGAATTATAGAATCCTAAGTTGAACATCACTTAGAGAATATTGAAACAACCAAAGAATTATTTTTAAAAGTATAAAAGTTATTCTAAAATTGAGATATATTCATAAAATAAATAAAAAATAGATTTATATATATATAATATATCTTATATAGTAATAGTAAGATTTGAAATTACTTTATTTTTTTATAGAGATTCAAAACTTAATTTTCTCAATAAATATTAAGTTAATGAGAGAAAAGATATATATAATATTATGATATTTTATAAACTATCATTATTATTTTTATCTATATTTTTATAGATTCTTATCATTATTGATTGATATGCTTAGTTAAACTGGTCTATTGAATATTATATTTAGTTTAACTTGATTACATAATGACAGAGTTAGACAATAATTCATAAAACGGATATAAAATATTATAAATTTTATGAAATTAGTCTTGGTGTTATTCGCATTAATTGGACTCTCTTATGGAATTTCATCAAAAATCAGTCATGCTAAGAAATTAGAAGAACTCTAAAGAACTAAATTAGGCTAAGCAATTTTAAATCTTGTTAATTTACACTCATTGGTTTAGGGACCTATTTAAGAACTTATAGAAACGATTGAAGAATTAGTATTAAAAGACCATAATAATAGATTTAAGATATTAACAATAATATGGAAGATGTTTAATACAAATTTTCAATGCGAACCAATGAACACAACTCATTTATTGTTCAAGTTAGTTAATAATTATAAGATGCTGATTAAGATATTACAAGAATGATTGATGTGATAGATAATTTACTTATACCAAGAAAAGATTAAATTACTAATAGAATTAGATCATTAATTGAAAATGATGAATTTAATAGAAAAAATTTAGATGAAATAATCTTACTTAGAGATTAAGAAAATTAAGCATATTAATAATAAATTGAAGAAGATAATGATGCTATTGATGCAGTAGATGATGCCATCAGTTTAGTAGGTTCTTTATCCAATCCTTCATTATTATAAATAAAGAATTTTAAATTTACTTTAAAAAGATTATCATCTAAACAATGGAATCGTGTAAATTAAGGTCCTATGGTATAGGCATTACTCCAAATAGCACTTAATTAGAATTTTGCAGATTCAGAAATTCTAAAATAAATAATAGATTCTTTGAATGAATTTAGAAATTAAATTGTTGAAGCTATGAATGATTTAACTAAATAAGAATAATTTAATTAAAAAGAATATTTAGAAAGATTAAATTAATTGGAAGATGAACATCATGAATTCTAAAAATAAATTAACTAAGCATAAGTTGATTTGGATGTAACTACTTGTAACTATATATGAATCAATATTTAGAAAAATTAAATGATTGTAATAAAATCTTAATACAAAGAGAAGCTGATAGAATTTAATATCAATAGTAATTAGATTTAGAAAATGAAACTTATGTTGTTGATACTGATATTTATAACTAAAACTTCAATCAATTATAAATAGAATTACCAATAGCTGAATAAGGATTGTCACTCATTAAATCAGCTGATTTTTCTGATATTAAAATATGAATGATTTTTTTTAAAGTTATAATACTCAAAATAGTTTCATTTTTTAACGTTTTTATTTTTAATATAAATAACTATAATAATTTATTTTTAATCCAATTAAAATAATTTTACCTATTAAAAACACTCCAATAATATATTTAAAAATTTTATTATACTTTTAACAAATAGAATTATCAGATATATTTATAAGCTAAACATAGAAACACTATTTTTAAATATTATTTGTAAAAATGCTTAAAAAAATATGTAAAATTTTGTAAAACACTGTTTCTATTTGATTTTTATATAAATAGAATAACATTATTAAATATATATTAAAATTGTTGATTTAACAATATAATTACATTAAGATCATTAATCCTATTATTATTATTTTGACTTTTATTCTAAAAAGAATTATTCAATTAATGTTATCCAATCATTTTAAGGCTTTTTTTCTGAAATATAATTTAAAACCTTTTCTATACTTGTTTGTGAGATTTTAAATTAATTTTATTATAAGAATTTAATTGCCTTACCTGTGTTTGCGATATCAATTCTTTATTAAACAGTGTAATTTTAACAATATATTACTTTTTAATTATTTGTAGTCCTATCTTAATTACTTAAATATATTTATCCATTATGTCCTAATATCATATTAACATTATTATTCAATTTAATAAAATGTCTTTTTTATTTGACAATCAAATAGTGATTAACCTTAATGAGTAATCCATCTTCAATTTTACCATATTTAAGTCCTCTTGTATGAAGATTAACAGATTTATCATTATTGACAGCTAATAATTTAAATATTAATAATAATTACAATGAACTTCTGCACAAATTAAATCATTTTCAGAAAATATTTAACGCATATTCATTTCATCATCTTCTGTTTTTTATCTCTAAATAATGAATTATAATTTTACTTATTCAGGTAAATAAGTAGAATTCAAATGAAGAGTAGCTTCTGAACTTGAACCTATATTTACAATCCACTTTTTATCTCTAATTTACACAATTTAGCCTATTACAATTTCTCCAATTTATGGTTAATAACTACATTTAATTGGTTTTATCATAATCAATCTTTTAATTATATAATTGATTACTTATTTGTCTAATTAATAGTTCCTGTAGTGCTGGAGAATATTTTTCCTTACTCTTCATAAGTATTTGTTCCACTAATAAATCCAGTTTCATCAGATAACAAATCTCCTGGCAGAAAAACTTCTTTCTTATCAGAATGCAAATTTTCCTCTATTTACATTTTAATTAATATATTATTTAATATCAATTTTTCATAATCATATAGAATATTATTTTCTTAAATCAATATTTTCAATCCATGGATATATTAAATAGTCTTAATCAAATGTGAATTAAACATAATATTATTCTTATTTATCTAATTAAAAAATTCAACATTTTATCCTTTATGTATATATTTTAAATATTCATAAATATTTTGATAATATTAAATTAATCTTATTGTCATGACAACTTTATTTGAATTCAATAGTATTAGTATATATTTATAATTAAACTTTCTATAAATCTGTTAATTTTATAGTAAATTATTAGGTTAACTTAAATATTCAAAAAATACTTAAAAAATATATTTGTTTGAATTAAAAAATATTGTGTGATTTAGAATTTAATGAGATTGTTCCATTTTATATAAGTCTGTTATAAATTGGAATTTTCCAGAAAATAATAATAAAATAAATTAAAATGACACGTATTACAAGTGTACTCCTACTCTCACTATTGCTTGTTTCAACATAAGCTTACTTTTAAGATAAAGAACATAGAGAAGAGGCTAAGTCATTCTTTTTAAATTTTATAAAAGAATTTACAAATGAATATTCTGCTTTATCAGCTGAGGGTTTGGATTATATGGGAGCTATGAAATTGGCTTTAGATTATTGGATTACATAAATAAGGATTCACAATTTTGCTGAATTAAAAGTATATAAATAAAGAAATATAATAAGGTTGATTTTGATGTGAATCATGACATTTTAGAAATATCAGCACCTACTTTTAATATTGATTTAATAGTAGAGAATAAATACACAATTCCAATAAAAATAGAAGAGTATTTAAGCATCAATATTTTAGTTTGTTTGTTTCAATTATTTTTAATATTGGACCAACACATTTCAGATGTTAAGATGTAGAAATTGATTATGCCTCTGTTTCTTTGGATGTAAATGTAGTAATCGAATATATAACAAAACAATTATTATCATTGGATATTATTAAATCTGCAATCAAGAAATCAGAGACTCCAATTAGAAATGTTATAATCAATGCTATTAGAGTATTTAATTAATTCAAATAATAAAGAGCAACCATTAAAGATTACATGGATTAATAAATGAATTGAGATCAGGCTCATTTAATCCAGGAGTACTTATAGCTTAATTACCTAATGTTCCATTTACTAGAGTAGAAAATAGAGAATATATTATTAATATAAGATAAATTTTCAGTTTTGAATCTTAGAAAGAGAAAGAAAAGAAGGATGATCTTTGAATAATAGATATATATATAAAATTGTCTAATTTGTTATAAAGGTTTTATTTTTATAATTAATTTAACAAATGATTGATTATTCATATTTAGCTCCACCATAAGAGGCCCATAATATTGTTCACTCTAGTAGAGAATTAAATTTTGATTTATAGACGATTATATTAAACATTAAGAGTAAGAGTAGGGAGTTAGGAAAATCTATGAAACAGTTGTTTATGATAAGTTTGAAATGGAAAAGGTGAAAGAACTAAAGGAGGAGATAAAATAATAGAAAATATTACTAAATTCTGAGTAAAAATATCTGAATATAGGTTTAGTTGGAAAGAAAGTGATTATTTAAGAATGTGTTATGCAGGAAGATTCGATAAAAAAGAAGTGATAAAAGTATACTGTTATTTATTAAAAAGAAATTACTATAACATATAGCTTGGAGACGTACAAAGATTAATCATGAAATTAATTCTAATTCAGAGTAATTTTTTAAAGAAGGAATTTGTTATCTTTTGGGTAGAGATAAATAATTTAGACCAATAATTATTCTAAATGCTCATTTAATTGATTAAAAAAAAGTAAATTATTCAATTACTATATTGTAAGCATGATAAAGAATAAATCTTTAAAGCTTTATCATTTCTTTTAGGAATAGTAAAAAAATATATGTTAATTCCAGGAAAGGTTGAAAATTGGATATTTTTATTAGAAACTAATAATATTGGATGTTAAGGTTTATAATAAAAAATCTTGGAAGTATTAATAGATGATTTGAGTACTAATTTCTCAGGTTATCTTGAAAGAATGTTTGTTTTAAATCCTTCAAGTGGAATCAATTTTTTATGGAAATAAATTAAAACATTTTTGAATCCAGAGACTATTAATAAAATTAGTTTTCTCTAATAAAAAGAATTTAAATAATTATAAGAATTTATTGAACCAAATTAATTAGAATAGAAATTTGGAGGTAGTCAATCAAATCTCAAAAAATTTTGGTATTATAAATATATTTCATAATAAGGCCACCTTATAATTTAGATTTGTAAGATGGATATACAAAGAATAATAATGGAGGTAATTAAAAATTAGATTTGAGATTTTAAAATATAGAAGAAGAAGAAGAAAATGATCCATATGATTAGGTAGATTTTAATTTGAATATTTTTATGAAATAGTAATAACAAATTTACTATGTTGTTTCTAATAAGACATAATAAGACATTCAACAAGATAACAAAGATGAATAGGAATTAGTTTAGAATTCTTAAGACTAATTATAAAAAGAAGATCCTTAAATAGTATCTTAATAAAAGATATAAAAAAATATTTTTGATGAACCTGAATAACCAGAATTATAATAATAAATAATTCATAAAGAAGAGGAGAAAAAATAAAATATTCCATAGAACAATGAAATTAAAGACAGTACTGAATAAGTTATTCTAACTGATAGATAAAAAAATTGTTAATAATTAGTGAATGATACAGAACAAAATAAATTATTGACTCATGATGAATAAGGTTTTAATTCATCTGGAAATAAATTAAATGAAGAAAGTCATGCAGAAAATATGATAATTTAAAATGTAGATCCTGTTAATAATAATAAAGGATGTTGTTCCAAATGTGAAATATTTTGATATTAAAATAGATTTATAATACTAATATATCATTTTATTTTATTTAAAATATAAAGTAATGGAGACATTCACATAAATTATTTCAAATCAAAATCATTTCATTTCAAAAAATTCATCTGTTTATTCATGATTTTCCATTTATAATTTGAAATATTCATCAATTAATTATTTTATCTAATAACTCTTTTCAGTCTCTAATTTTAAACATGGTTTCTCTTTATTATTTTAATTATTCTCTTAACGACCACTTTACTTAGTTAAATCTTCCAAGTATATAGTTAATGTAGTCTATAAAGAACTGATAGATTCAATTTCATCAAAATTCAACTCTAATAATTCAAATTAAGATATAAATGATGAAAGAATTATTATAGAATTATAACTAATTCCTAAACATAATGATGATATTCCTTTAATATTTTCTGTATTATGATTTTATAATTATTTATCTTACTTCTTTTTTTTATTCCAATAATTATTACTTAATTCAATTATTTTATTCATGCTATCCTTATCAGGTTTCACAGAAAATTTAGTAACTCCATAAAATTTTTTAGATTTTAGCAAATTCAAAAAAACTAATAATGCAAAATGAATTTCAGTCATTTATTCATTTTTAAATCTATCATTTTAATTATCTATTAAATTATAATCTGATTTTATTTATTGCTGTTAATTCTATTTCTCATTTACAATTTAACAATGAAAATTTTATACTAAAGTAGGTAGAAAATTACTCCATTCATCTTATGATATAATCTTAATGGCAATAGGAGGAAGAAACTATATAAATTAAATTATTTATTACCTTCTTAATCTCATTCATAGGTATTCTTTTTGGATCAATTGTTTTATGTCCATTTAAATACAGATAAAAGGCTGTATAAAGAATATGATCTTTTGGACCTAATGTTAATCTTAAATTGCTAATATCATCAAATAATTGATAGCTAATTAATTATAATCTCACTAAATCCTAAGTATAATAATCTGTCTCTTCCTTATTTGATACAAATAAATGTTTTCTAAGCTATAGTAATTTCCCATTATATAGAGGTACTTTCTAAGATTTCTTAAATAATCCAAAAGGTTCATCAAATCTGACTAAAAAATTCCATAATTTCTCATCATTATCTAATGGTTTTAAATAAGTATTATCTATATAATATAATCTAAAATCATAAGCAGATTAAAGTTATATATCAGTAGCTATCTCTTCCATTAAACTAAAAGCTGATGTGTCTTTATTTATAAAAAACTCTTTCTCAATCTATTTAAAATTTAGAAAGACCATAACTTTTATTTTAACTTATATTGAATTTAAAAAATCTTTGTCTACTACTGAACTTTATCTTGAATTTCCTTTACTTTCTACAGCCAATAATTGAGTAGCAGAAATCTTTCTTACATTTTTCATACTTGCAGCTCTCAATCCTCTAACAGGAGTTTATGGATCTTTTGTAGTTTAACATAAAGTCTATTCAGTTTTTTAATCAGAAAATTTTAAACCATTTGATTATACTTCATTTAATTTAGTAATATCTCTCGGAGAACCTATTTAAGTGAACATAGTTGTAAAATTTGAATTTTCATTTGAACTAAAACTAACAGAGTGTTATGAAAATTCTACAGTACCACTTGTTGGTTTTTTAGATGCTCTAAAATTAATTCCAACTCCCAATATAGATTATCTATATTATTTGACTAGAATTGCAGGCAAATCATAAAAATTTTCAGGCAATCCTAATAATACTAAAATTGGTTAATTTTATGTCTTATTTTCCTTAAAATCTTATGAATTCAATAATATCTATAAAAATTCTATCATAACAATTTTCCTTTTCTAATAATAACAAATAATATTTACATCTATAACTGCAGATTCATTTCTATCAAAATATGAATTTTCTTTAGTTTCTGGTATTTTTATTTTTGGAAATAACATTTTCACATCTTGTAATATTTTTTTAAACAAACTATATCTTAAGTATATTTTTTAAGTGATATTATTATTAATGTCTATCTCAAATATATATTAAGTAAATTTTTTATCTGTTGCATCAATAACATCTTCAGTTCCTATAATTTAAACTGAAAC